CTAAATTTAATCTTACAACGAATTTCTTATACTTAACAAAAGTCGCAATCATCGGAACGAGTTGAATTTTACATCTTGAGTTCTTTGTTAACCACTTAATTTGACTAATTTTTACAAAAGACTTTTTTGTCAGTAGTAGTTTCTATTCAAAACTTCTTATCAAGTGTTGATCAATTTTAAATATTTTTGAAGCAGTTATGAAAATACAAACTTTAACGTTATTATTTAATATTATAGTACTATATTGGAAATCCCAAAACATATTAGGTCAAAATGTGAGTTTTATTAGTTAATGTAATACAATTGAATAAAAAATTATTCAAGGCAAAACACTATTTTCATGTTTAAATGTAGTTTTTCCAAAGCATACACGTAAAACTAATAGGTCGAAAATTATCTTTATGTATATTTTACTGCAGTTGCATGCTAACTCAGTAGAGTTTTATTATAATGATATGTTTGGGCGCTATTTTCACTGAAAGCTTTGTCAGTGTAAATTCTGACTTTACCTCATAAATCTGTTGTGATAATATAAATTTTTCTGTGCAAATCAGCAGTTTTACAAACACTTAACCATACGCTGCTTTACTGTCCACTTTATTTTAAACTTTGTTTATGTCATCTACTGTTTTGTAACTTATTTACTGTTAAATTATTTAGTATGTATTATTTGTATTATGTATTGCAAACTATTTTGATTGTCTGTTGTAACCTTTACCTGGAGTTATTGCAAATATACTTTTGAGTTATAAATACACAGCCCGGAAACAACACTTAAAACACTTTTGGCCACGCTCCTACTTTGAAATAAAATTGACTCATAGTTGAAAAAAATCGAAATGTAGGCATCCTTTTAGGGAGAATAAAAGCTCAGGTACACACTTGGGTAGGACCTGGGTTCAAATCTTGCCAATGATTAATGATTTATATTTGAGTTTTACCAAGTTTCAGCAATGCCAACCCTAAATAATGAGTAAAGTACTGGGGTGATCTCGGAGGAGGTTGAAATATTAAAACAAAATTGCACATGAGTTATTACTACAGTATATTATTTAAATTAATTTTCGTCGTTGCCAAAATAAATACAAACTTCCTCAAACATCTTTCTTATTAGCTTCCCCTTTCAACAAATTCAGTTTTAATTAAAAATTAAATAATCTTTCTCATTTATAATTTATTTTTAAATCAAAAGATTTCAGCAGTTTTTTAATATCTAATAATGAACTTTTTCTTTTTCTCTCTAAATAATCTGGCTTAGAAATTCATTCATTTTAAACAACTCTAGCTTACGCACAGACCCCTAAGGTATATGTAGATTTATTTCTACTTTATTACTATCTGTTTATGCCTTTCAATTTTCTTTTAGACTTTTATAGGTTTCGTTAGTTAACTTTAGACCTTAATTTTAATATATAAATTTATGTAATGCTTCTACTCTTATTGTATTTAATTTTAAAAATAATTTGTCACTTTGTAATCCTTTTATGGAAATAAATCCGATTAAATTTATTAAAATGAATTAGTTTCATCTACGTAAGAATTACCATGATTGTGTTGGCCTTCTGTAATACTATGTGCTAAAACGTATATTTAAAATAATAATTAACTAAATATTTTTTCCAAACGAGAAGTAGCTTTCTTTTTAATTTAATAAAATATACAACAGTCTGAAAATCAAATATTGGGTGTTGTGTTATTGTTAAATTTATTGTAAAATGAGCCTTAGAATTATCTATTTATTTTTGTTTGAAGCGTTGAGTTTAGATATTCTCCAACCAAAAGCAGCATTCTCAGTAGTTGGAAACTTTGTTTCAAAGTCGCTTTCAGAACCTCATATCGCAGCAGATAAGAAAGTCATGGGGAGGCTATGGCATAATAAAGTTCCTGTATTCACCTTGGGTTCTTATCAATTGTAACTCCACCACTGTTACTTCTCCAATAGAATTCAATGTAGCCCTAATAAAGCTTATTTAAGACTCCGTGACTTAAAAGCTTAATTTATCATTTATTTAAACTTAATTTACCACCTGTAATATTTTTACAATTTGATATTATATCAGCTACGGGTTACTTTATATAATTTTGTATGGATATGTTTAGTTTTACAAAAATCTACAAATTATTTTACACCGATTCATGTTATTTTTGTATTTTTTGTTGTCAATCAGTTCATTTTTTAACTTACGGTTATAATCAAACTTACGAAATCATTAGATTAATGCAGTATATATTTTGATTGAAATATTACTAAACGTATCGAGTAACAACCATTGTAATGAAAACCGGTTATTTTTTATGTAAACAAAATATTCAAGAAATTATTTTTCTCTTAAGCATCGTTAAATAATACTATGATTGAATATTTTAATGAAAATATAGATTTCTTATGATTGTAAGCTTTAACGATTGTTTTACTTGTTGCTTTTTCTTTCTTCATAATGTTACGCATTAATTTGTATAATAACACGTAACCCTATACCTAAGTATTTCAAACATTCAACAAAATATTGGATAACAGTATTTTCTATGAACAATAGTTATCTTATAAACCGTAAAGCAATATTTTTCATTGTTCCTTTTTACCTCTTTTTGCAATTTTTAAAGATTTTATCCTTCATGTCTGTCAGCTGCGGAGATCGAGTTCCCAAGTTGCGTATTTATTCTGATATCATATTGATTCGGATTGGGTTTATATACGCATCGTTTCCTACGTTATTCCACTTGGCTGCATTTTTTTCTTCGATTTAATATTTTTCGCATATGTTTAGTATAAAATCCACAAATCGAAATTTTAACGTGTTTGCTTGCAACAAAATATAGTTTTGAAGTTTGATTTTTCAAAGTATTTTTTATTTTATGGTATAATTATTTTAGGCTCACTTCTTTTCTAGATAAATATGCTATTTTTATTTCAAACTTTTTTTGGAGTGCGCTGGTGTGGTGGTTAGAGCGTGGGACTTCGATTCCTGAGGCCCCGGGTTCAAATCCTACCAAATCACCAATAGATTTTATCCGTGTTATTTAAGTGATAATGCTGCAACTCCTAGATCTAGCCTGAAGTAATGTGAAAAACAATTCCGGGCTCGTGCCTAGCGTCCTAGAAAAAATTTAAAAAATTTAGATTGAACATTCTAATATATTTATTTTATAGTTTTAAATAAATGCGTTTTCTCTAATTTTGTATCCATGGGTTTACATTTTTTAAACCCTTCTAAAATTCAGCATTATGTTTATGTGATTAATTGGATATTTTTAAAGGTATTTTACTATTGCAAGGGTTAAAATCTGCACTAAATATCTAGTTATTTTAGTAAATTTGAGTGTTAGAAAAGTTTTCCTTTTGTGTAAAAAAGTGTTACTATATTTTTTGTGTCAATGGTGACGTACTAGAGGTCTATTTGTTCACGATCTTGGGATGGAGCCTAGATCCCTAGGACAAAAAACTAGATTTGTTTTGTTTAAAAAGATTTGATTTTATCTTTAAAAGTTGTTACCACATTCAACATATAGTTTTTAGTTATACAAAAGTGAAAAAATCGAGTTCAGAAATATATTATCGTACAACAAAGCTATTAAGTTCCTAAATGATTTCTCCTACAATTCCTTTGCTGAGTGTAACGTCTACTTTTTCACATAAAAGATGGTAAACGGTAATGTCATATTCTTCTTCCGTTTGTTTCGTAAGTAATATATTTCCGTGAAAATATCTCTAAAACTAAATAACTAAAACTAAATCACCCAAAGGTATATATTTGTCATAGTTTATTACTTCTTACTGATTTTACTACTTAATTATTTCATGATTTTTAAGACCTATATTTTATCACCCCGTAAATCGGGCTAATATTATGGGCTAGTAACTTCACTAAATTAGGAACCTATAAATGCCAAAAATTGATTTTACTCTTGTATAGCATTATAAAAAGCTATATTTTACTAAACTTAATTAATGTTAATGTAAACAACGAAGTACATTACAAAAGTTAATGTGTTTCATGACGATGAGTCCATATTAAATAGTTAAGGTTACAACTATTCATTATATCATTAAAATCATATATATCCGAATTTGATCAGCTCGAGAGGATTAAAGGTATTGTTTGATGTGGTTCGGTGTGGTTTGCTCCAATCCACTGTGGCATGGATAAGTGCATCTGATACTTTCATTCATTTGTTTCTACAATGACATAATAGATAATAATCTGTGATTAATTCAATTGTGATTATTATCTTGTATTTCCCTTAATATTGATTAGTTGTTTCCTTAAACAATCGATACTTTTTTAAGTAATATATTCGATAGAATAGTATATGTTAAGCAAATGTTACTTTAAATAGCTAAGTTGACACTATTCAGATGTCCTAACATGTACTTGTTTGGTATGAATAAAGATGTTTTGATTTGAGTGTTTGTTGTGTTATATTTATTAAACGTGCTAATTACCCTAAACATTTAATTTATTTGTAGGACATTTCGAAACAAACTATTTTAAATGTGCCTAACCTATTTATATTATCTAAGCATTTGTAAAATTGTTAAACCTCACTAGTAGCTCAAAAACAAAATAAAATCCTTAATCTAATACTATAAACTATATGCTGTGAATAAACAATTTAATGTGCTACTATTTAATCCAAAATAAAATTCACTGTAATGTACGTAAAAACTTAAATTACATAAAGGATAGTGGGGTAGCAATATTTACTATTATACACCTTATCAACATATAAATATTCTGAAAATGAGTTTTAAACATTTTTTAAGTCACATAATTATTTTATTAAATAATTATTTTCAAATTATTATTTTCTCAAAACATTAAAATAAACATATACTTATCCTCTAAACCCTAAATAAATTATTTTCCAAAAACCTCGCAAAATGTAAAACTGTTTTACAACTACCCAAACAATGCAAATGGATATTGGCACAAACATGTTTCAATATCCATTTTCTCTACGACTACACACTTGTAGTATATCTAACCATAGATAATCACCTGTTGTGTCGTATTGTAGTAGAGAAGGTCTAATTCACGTGTCACTAAAGCACGAAAGACACGCGTACTACTGGTGAGTATCGAGGTATACCCGCTACTAACAGCTATTGCTGGGGGTGGCGACGGCGCGTTCGCCCGTTACCATGGCAACTGTGCCCTTCAGGTCAGGTCACCAAGACGCCGATACCGTCTTATTTACAATTTCATATCTGATTTCACCCAGATTTTATCAGATTTATATAGCGAGCGAGGTGATACGAGGGGCACTCGATGTGTCCCGTTGAAAAACCCGGTGCCCCCGGGGTTGGTGCCCCGGGAGGATCTGGGGGTCAAGGTCACCCCCCCAACCCCCTCGATTCTCTCGATCCTTGCTTTTTGCGTTTATTTGGTGGCATAAGCTTCTGTTTCTTTTGTTTTCTTTGATTTACGAAGTTTTCTTTTACGATTTCCAACTTGGAGTGGTTTGAGGTTATTACTTCACTGTGTTATGTTTCTGATGTAAGAATAAAAATATATCAGTATTTCATCAAATGGTTAAATATTTGCTGTGAATTAATTAAAATTTTTAAGCATCATATGTATTATATGTGTTATTAAATAATTACATCACATTAGCATTAGCAGATCAGGGTAATCAGTGTATATTAATTACATCCTATTTACGGAGGATGTGAAAGTAAAATTGCTTGGCTTATTTTTCATGTTTACTAATATTACGTAATTTAAATATATAAAATGTGTTATATGAAAAAATAAAGTAATAGGGCAACTATGAATAAAATAAGATTGAACATTAATAAACTGAGTACCCTTTAAAGTATAAAGTTATTTATTTAATAATATATTTAGTGACCAGGTTTCGGCACTAAGGTAATTTTCAAAGCAAACAAAAAGTTAAATTAAAATATGTAAATAAATAATATCACATAATATTATAGCATTTCTAGCTTGTTACATAATTTTATCTTCATTGATTCATTTACATATTATATGATATAATAGTTTTTATGTTCATTACAATTTTCTAAATTTAGCTATTGTTTCATATATATTATATATTTATATATAAATACATACATTTATGGAAAAAAAATTAAGAAAAATCTATGAAATGGACAATATAAAAATAAAGTTCATCCAGTGCAATACTAAATTTTAAAAACCAAAATTATACTTAAAACAATAACTAATAAAAACTCTTGCGAGCAAAAGAAACAATGAAAGAAACTATAACTTTAAAATCATAAATGTAACTGCTAGAGATACAAAAAAAACTAGTTGACCCAACTATATTTTTCTCCAGCCCTAACTATTAATATAATATTTTGGATTTAAAACTCCTTAAGAGTCAAACATAATGTATCTGTAAGTTTACTTTTAGTGTAACGTATTTAGTTTCGGATATCACGACATAGTTGGGATTATTGTAAATAATCTATAAGGCCCTGTCAAATCACACACAGGGTGGCTGAAAAGTAACTTGCACCCCCTCTTACCTTTTTAACTATTAGAGATATTTGAAATCGATTTGCAGCAAACTTCTTAGAAATGAGGGGCTACAATAATTATGGTTAGTTTAGAAAATTTTGCCCTTAGGGGTAGTGGGGGTGGGTTTAGCTCAAAATCTTTAAATGGGAAGTATGGTTGATTTTGGTATAATTTTACAGGTCTTGACAAAACCAAACAATTAACATTAAGAAAATAGAAATCGGACAACTAATAACAAAATGACAGTTAATAATCATTTTAAGCTGTCATTTTGTTATTACACTTCCGATTTCTATTTACTTTATGTTAATTGTTTAGTTTTGTACCTGTAAAATGATACCAAAATCAGTCAAACCCCTAAGAGCAAAATTTTTAAAATTAACCATAATTATTGTAGCCTCTCATATCTAAATAGGTTGCCGTAAACCGATTTCAAATATCTCAAATAGTTAAAAATTAAGGGGGGTGCAAGTTAATTGTTTTGCCACCCTCATAGTTATTTGTATTTGAAACGTTTTAGGGAGCCATTTTTTTATTATTTGTCCGATTGTCCGATTTTGGTTTTCTTTATGTCAATTAACTGTTTAGTATTATCAAGATCTGTAAAATAATACCAAACTTGACCATACTTGCTACTTAAAAATTTTGAGCTACCCCCTACCCCCGCTCCCCCTAAAGGCAAAATTTTCAAAATTAGCCATCATTATGGTAGTCCCTTATAACTAAGAAGGTTGCCGCAAACCGATTTTAAATATCTCAAATAGTTGAAAATTAAAGAGGGGGTGCAAGTTAATTTTCAGCCACCCTGTATGTTGTCATACATATATAACAAGCACGTGTATAATATTATTTTGTCGACTAAACCATTTAGATATATCTAGCATGTAGTGATAATTCATGTAGATGTATAATACTGATCATAGAGATACACTGTATGATTGAATATTGTTTGTAGTGTGTAGGGTTTATTACCTTTAAAGTCATAGAGGTAAATTTATAAATCATTGATCGTAGCTTTTAGAGTATATAATTGAATAAAACTGTCTATAATACCTGTTATATGGATATATTATATAATTATACATAATGTTTAGGTATATAGTACCTGTGAAACTAATTAGATATTATCTGTAACTATTCACCATATGCATATGCAATACCTACTATATCATACAGAAGGCCCATGTGATTAGACACCATTGGTAAAGCGATTGATATACTACACAGGCTGTCCCGTAAATAAAAAGCCAACCTCCAGAAAATTGTTTATGGGTTACATAAAATCAAGGAAAATATTTTCAGAAAAACACTTCGTTAACCAGATATCCTGGTTCAATTTATGTTTTAAATTTATCTAGCTTTAACTTTTTTATAACATAGATCTCTTCTATAATAAAATATAAATCAATTTACATAATGATCGGTCGGAAAAATTCAAAAATAAAAATAGTTACGTAAAAAAGGTAGATATTTGGTTAACAGTGTTTGTTTTTTATTCCTTCTTTATTACTCTTTAACTAACCCATAACACAATTCCCCAGAGTTTGTATGTTTACGGGACACCCTGTAGGTGGTCATCACTGTAGGTGTGCGATACCAATAAAATCCTAGATATATACTATGTAATTATACATTTTTTGTAGGGATAGCAAAAATAATTTGAGAACAAAAATATGAAACATAACCACTTCAATCATATATCTTGTGAGTGTGCACTGTGCATTCAACCAACAGCATAAATTGAATCTGCCATACATTACATTTTAAAATTATTATGATAGTAGTATTTATTTTACCTTAGAGGCATTTCCTTTGTAACTTGTACAGTACATGTTTTTTTTTATTTTATGTATTAAAATTATACTAAATATTATGCATGTTAACATCTATGTCTTGGATTATTTATAACGACTTAGTTGTTTTAGTTTGCATATTTTACGTGTGTATATTACTTTAAGTAAAAATAAATTGTATTATTGAAGTTTTCTTTGCTCTGGATAGACCAAGATAAAGGAATGTCTTAATGAAGATCTCCTCAGTTGTCTACTTTGGTGGAATTTTATCATCCAACAGTCTTTAAAAAGATTAGAATTTAAATTTTTTTATTTTTGTCTGTTAGTGTCTTGGTTTAGTAAAAACCTAGTAGAAATGTCTACTTTTATATGTATAGGCACTTGTATGAAATCCCCATAGTTCCTTATTTCAAAAAATAATTTACGGTTACATGTGCTACTTAATTATTTGTCTTCAGCTGATTTTCTATATGATGGTAAGCTATTACCGTAGATCTCATGGTAAGACCCGTCCCCACTTTTCTTTACTACCGATCTATTGGACTACTTGTTTAATTGTTTAAACTATTTGTCCGTACATTTTCCATCGTGGTCCTAGCCACTTTTTAAAGTGGCTAAAACCCTACTGCGATTATACTATTTTCGGGACAGATTTTGAGGCTAAGAACTCATTCACAATATATAAAACAAATTTAAATTTCACAGTTTGGATAACGAAGGAGATTCAATATTTTAGATATTCCTACAAAAAAATATACTCTACGGAATGCAAAGTGTGTTTATAGTTATAGATTGAAAGAATCCTCTTTAATCATTGGTAGCATATGTGTAAGAAGAGTAATACCATTCAAGACGATTTTGAATTTGCGATATCATTAACCTAACTTCTCTTAATACCGTGAAATCAATAAATAGGTTAATTACTGGGTTAGCAATCTTTTGATGTAAATGGTCTTTTAAATGATAAGACATATGTACAAACATACAGGAAATTAAGTATATTTAAATGTATGTTAATTTTCACGAATATTGATGGGATTTGAGTAGCTTTTCATGCTATTGTAACAACTAACTCAACTAACTAAGTATACTAACTCAATGTAACTATATTTACACCATTATGTAAAACACCCTTAAATCCAGTCACGTTGAGTATACACTGTTAAAAACATATGTTTGTAACACCTTAGTACAAACTCTACATTACTGGTGTTATATGATAGAAACTTGATAAACTAAAAAAATATTTTTATCACTAAAGAAACTAGTTTACCAAGACAGTACTAACAGACAAAAATAAAAACATTTAATTTCTAAAAAAAAAACAAGCTTCAAAACCTCCATAATCGAGCGTTCATCGCCACGTCATAATGTTTTACTATACAGGGTGTTCATTTAAAAACTTTCCATATCTTTGTTGTACACATCTAAAGCTGTTAACACTTGTTCGTTCTCATTTTCCCCCAATTTGGCCTTACCGTTTGAGAATTTTTTGTATTGTGATATAACACAAAAATGTCCTTACTACAAGTTATCTTGAAAAGCAGCTCAACAATAAGCTTGGGGAAAATTGGTGCTGTTCAGTAGTTCGGGTAATACGGCACTTTACTTCAAAGTCCGTTTTAAAACGTTTTTACCCACACTGTAAATACGGTTAAGGATAATTGACATTTTGCACCAAAATGATCAGGGTGATTAGACCTTAAAATTGATGTATTACACAACCCCTGTTTATATTTAGAAATTTCATAAAAAGCACCCGTTACCCCAAATTGGGCCCTTATGGGGCATTTTTCAAAATTG